TTATTAATTTGTTTAGAAAAAATAAAAGAAATTAATTTATCCAATATAAAAAAAAAAGTTCGGTTCTTATTCGGTTCTTCGGTTCTTGGTCGAGAACCGAGAACCGAACCAAACCATTCGGTTCTCGATTCGGATACCCGTTCGGGTATTTCATTTTAAAAAACCCGCTCAGTTCGGTTCGGTTCGGTTCCGGTTCCGATTCGGTTCAATTCGATTCGGACATTTTGCCCAACCCTAGTTCAAATCGTAACACTAAATTCAAATCCACTATTGACAAAGGCACAAAGCATTCCAATTTCTAAAATTACTCGATCTTTCTCATTCTATTTCTCGACTCGACGGCTTCATCAATAGAACTATAGAAGCATCTCCTCTATCTCTTGCCAAATTTGGTATGAATAAGGTATGGATAGTTTTCACCGATGTCATCTGCTCATCATTAGAAGCATCTCCTTTGCTTCAAGGTATGAATGAAATCGAATATTGTATTATTTTGAAACTAGGTGAGACACTTATTTTCAAGAAATTATCTTTATTGTTATTTTTATCATTTTTAATATGATATTCAGGTTGATTTTCTACCAGACGAGGCCATTGTACTAAACACGTAAGAGATAACTGCTGTGACAGTCCGAGAAAAAACTAAATTAACTTAAAAACATGTCGTGAAATTGCTGACTTTGGAATTACGAGGACTAGAATACTAAAGAGGTTCAAGGATTTCTAGCAGAAAAGATCATGGCCATAGCTAGGTTTTTTGTTCGTAGGAGTTAATAAAGATTACAATCCTCCATTAATTTCCGTGTGAATGACACTGGAACCAAGCACAGCCCTCTTCTTTGTAGATCAACTCCTTTTTCTGCTCCCTGTATTTGAAGCAAGTTCTGCACACAAGTTAACGCATAAGCAAGCAAATCACGGCAGTAATTTTCGATATAAAATAAGCTTTAAATTTAAATTCCTCATGAATAAGAAAATATACACAATCTCTTAAGCAAATAAGTTCAGTCTATTACTCTGGGTAAGCCCAAAAAGTAATTAGAATAAGTGAAAAAAACCTGAATTTGATCTTGAAGGACGTTGACAGAAATATAAGCCTCCAGAAGCACCGAAGCCGTGTCAGTCTGCAAGTGGACCAAAATTTAAACTCAATATTATATAACTTATTTCACTAGAAATCTTAATGAAAATAGGATCTATCATGCTACTTGTGCTTCTGTGTGTCAAGGCACCCACCCATATAGGGGGGAGCGGGGCAATTATTTTATTACGCGCAAGCATCCCTATGTAAGCAAGGTGTCAACTTCGATATACGAGTAACAATATTAAAATAAGATGACTCAGACAATTGCGACATTTTCTAATCAATATCAACTTGAATATAATTTGATCAATGTATATAAGACAGTCATCGATATTCGATAGGGTTGTAAATTGATCTGCTATAGATCGAATTTGTCCATATTCAATACGATTCGATAATCCAACAGATATTTAATTGTAAAATCTATATCCAATTTGTTATATCAACGGATATCCAATTCGATAATCTAATTCGAAATTAAATAAATTAGGAAATAAAATTAATGTTGAAATTAACTTTTTTTCTTCTAATTTTTCTAATTCTTAAACGGGTTTAATAATTATAAAATTTTCAACTTTTTAAACTTGTAGCCAATTGGATTGAAAGGTACAAAAAGTCAATTGTATTGTACTATTATATAAATAGTTATTTATATTTTATTAAATTAAATTAATCGTTTTTCCTATTTTTTACAAATTAATAAAAATTTAAAACTCTCCAAATATTTCAATTGACACTATTATACTATATCTTTTTTATCGAATACATTTATTTTGTTAAGCTCTTAAAATTGTATTTGGTACTATAATATGTACGTATTATTATATAATTTTTAGATTGATTAAAATTTTAAAATAATATTAAAATAAGAAAAAAAAATTTAAGTCTTTTTATGTTTAAGGTTCGTCTAAGCTCGAAATCTCCAGGCATCACCACTCATTACACTTCTTAGAACACTATGTACACGTGGATTAACTTTCTTTTATATTTCAAATTTGATGACTTTTTTATTCTAAATTTCTTTATTGTCTCATTTATTTATTTTATTGACAAATAACATAGCATATAAATATTTAATCGACTCAACTATTTATAACAAATTGGATCGGGTTGTTACCGGATCCGATAGATCTATATTCATATTTGATTCATTTAGTTAACGAATTATCGAATTCGAATATTGATCGTGTTATCAGAATGAGACCATAAATCTATTTCTCATTAATTTCATTGAATTCAAATCAAAATTCAATCCATTAACAGTCCTAGTCATCACTAAATAACAAAACAGGTACATGCTCAAATGTTTTTATGTACTACTATTTCGAGTTCAACATATTAATATGTACATGTTAAGTTGTGGAGTCTAATCATTTTCGTTGTATGGAGCCAATATGCGAATCAACCTTCACAATGAGATTGTCGTGGGGATTCGAAGGGGCAAAGAAGCTCCTTCTCACTCTCGACCAATATTTTATTAAGGATAATTTAGAAATTTGTGTCATTTTTATTTCCATTTTACCCTAGTTCGTTTTATAAATAGGGAGTAGTCATTAAATTTTTGCAATACCATCATAAAAGAGATATTTGTGAAGATGGAGTGTGTGTTTCTTCTCTTATAAAATTCTTTTTATCGTAATGGATTAATGCAGCGGCAGAAGACGAAGTAGTCTCACATTGAGACGATCCTCTATAAATATTGTGTGTTTTTGAGTGCCTATTTTTCATAATGCAAATTGATTTCTCTAGATGAAATAGAATTATAGTTTCTAATTCTCAGCAATAAAGTCCTATTGATTCATTACTGTGTATCAGTATCACACCTTGCCGTAAGGAGAAACTAGCTTCTGAAGGGCTGTGATCTTGTCCGTCAACTTCTGGCTTCTCCGTGTTGGCACCTAGAGTACACAGATTCAACAAATTTGCTTTTTATTAACATTATTGACAATTTCTGATTTCCTATCAAAAATCCTAAGAGAGTTCACATACCTTTCGTCTTATGATTTTGTCTCCCTCCATGTCTTCTCGAAAGAACATTGCTTTCTTGAATTTTTTATCAGTAGCCTCAACTGAACGTTTTCTTGCATTTTGTATAGGCAGTAATTCCTATAAACAAACATATTCATTAAAAATATTATACTGAGAAGAAAATTGTGCTCACCAGTCTCAATCACTGTATTCTTAATAATAACAAGGTTTTGGTCCAACTAAGGCAAACAACAAAGGGATGAATTATTGTTAATGTTAAACTTAGAAACTACAAAATAATCATTGACGAAGAAAAGGTATAAGAGGATTTGTATTGTTTGTAGACTACTGTGAGAACTACCAATTTATATATATAGCTATAAAAATGAAAAGAATTACTTAGATAAAACTAGTAAAACAAGGAATTAATTGCAGAAAATCATGAAAATAATATGGAAGGACGATGAAATATATGGAATTCATATGCTTAGATACACAGAAATTTCAATCAAACATGCCAGAGAGTGCAAGATTTCCATACATTTTCACTTTGCTCAACTGGAAGAGTCTTGCCAAGGGACACCAGCGGCTGACAAATATTATTATTGTCAAAAATGGGCATTGAAATGGAGTGACTTTTTTCTACAAATGGTGGGCAATCTACTCTTTCCATTGGCATTGTCGACGGCAGTCCTGAAAAATAAACACGTAATTAAGTGCACAAGATTCTACACGAGCAGGTTCTAGCTCCTAAAATTAATGATCCATAGGGACATTGATCGGACCTGATATATAGTCGACAGGTGATTGAGAATACATACTAACTATTTCACCAAACCGACTATGCTGATTCTGCGCGTCTAAATCCATCCAAAAGCTGCTGTCACACGAATTCCTGTTTGGAATATGCAAACTACTACATATTACAAGAGTTTTAATCAACCAAACGTTGAGTTAAATGAATTCCAAGAATTTAATAGTAAGTGACTTACAGGTTGTTGTCTATCTGTGCAGGAATAATATTAGAGATGGCCTCGTTGTAGCCTGCAATTTGAAAATATATATGAAATGTGAATTTCATTACAGAAATTAATGTAAGTACTAGGATTTAATTCGAGAAATACCTACATTACAAATTAATGTTAGCAACTTACCAGAGCTGTACAGATGTGCAGACACCTGAGGGAAAAAGGCATTCTTCATTTTTGAAAATTTGACAATCTTTTGTATACCTAAAGAGATGAAAAATCTTCTCAATGTATTTTTAATACAAGGAGACAGTGCAGAAATCCCTGTAAAGAGTAAAGTTAATTAGCATTATAAAGTTGGGTTCTCGAAATTCTTTCTTCCCAATGGACACCGGTATACTAATAGAATCATCGATCAGTCTAATCTGATCATGTACTGTGCATGTAAAAGTATGAAAATCTTTTGGAAAAAGAGTATAATGCATCTTTTGGCGATAACAACTTCAATGCTTATAGTACGCCTAATCTTTTCATCAATGGCTGTGAAAATTGAAGAAAAAATATGTTTTTGAATAGTATTCAAGTTAGTTTCTGTTCCCCCACCTATATATGATGTGATTGTGAGCAGCGCATAAAGCTTGTCCTCGATGTGCACAAACTAAACCTTATTCTCAACAATAGGAACTCCTAAGGTTTCTTCAAAATGTTTGACGATTGTTCTTTTCTTTTATAGGAGTTGTACAAGTATAGTCATGTAGGTTTAAATGTTAAATTAATGCATGGCAGGAAACTAGACGAAAGAGTTCAATTTCGAACTCAATAAGGGCGGCTCTAATTAATTTGGAAAATGTTTGTTTAATTTCATTTTCAACCAAGTTGACTCTTGAAGGGTTTGAGAACAAAAAACATATTTTTGAATAAACAATAAAAGACTTTTGAGAAAAGATGACATTTTTCTATCAGTTAGGCCATGAAATATTTTATCAGTACGATTCATTTTTATAATGCAAAACCAGATTACCACAATTCAGATTATATAATGTTGGAGTATTTAAACTTTGGAATCTAAAAAAAATCAATAATTCCACACAATCAATGTAATGTTTGCTAAAATGGAGTGGATACGTCATTTAACAAGTTAAATCATGTGGGTTGTCCAAGTATCGTGTCTGACACTATGCTTCTGTTTGACACCAGTTAATTTCTGATTCTTATTCTTTATTTCAACCACACATTCTCCAAATAAAATAATTGTAAAGGCCTAAGACACACGATATTAAGACAAGATCCAAAAGAATCAACCACAAACAGAAAGTAAAGTTGCAGAAAATTAAAAGATTGAACACAAGATTTATTTCGACATAAGCCCCAAAGGTTCGGCGACCAAATCTAACGCTTACATTCCTCGTTGAGCATCTAAAAATGGATATCAGCTCAGTTGCACTAATAAGCCCAAAATGACAACAATATTACATATCGTTCTTCAAATACAAGAGAAATGCACAAAAACACTTATATCTAAACATTAAACTGAAGATCGAATTAAGGAATCACACAAGATAGCATTCAACAGCCTACTGCACTACAAGACTGCAAGAAACCCTTTATTCTCATAGCTATCAAAGAAACAACAGATTACAGAGGCTAAAACACTAATTGATCTCAGTTTACAGGTTCATCACGAGGGATGAAGAACACGATGATCTCAAACCCTAGTTTACAAGAAAAGGAAAAACTCTCAGAAGAACCTAGAAGAACGAAGAAGCTCAAGAGCCAAGACCAAGTGAATAAAATATCCGCCACAGTGGTATATATATCACACACCAACAAACCATAGATCTAAGGGCCAGCAAAGGACCACGTGTCACCATCTGAAGAGAAGTTGCATTACTAAAAGAATCGCATTTAGTAAACACGTTTTCAACCAATTTTGAGAGCACATCACAAATCAGGGGTTCGAGCCTCAACAATAATATTACACACAAATAAAAAAAAAATTCATTACTTTTCCACCACACATTCTCACATCAATCATTATTCCAAAATTTCTATTCTCCTCAAAATTAGATTCAAACACAAGATATATATCAAACATCGTCATATTTTAAGAGAGAATCTTATATCACTTAAATATGAAGCAAAATAATAAATATATAAGGGATTAAGTTACTCCTCATAGTAAACATATATTTTGAGATGCAACAAGAGTAGCATATTTATTTTATACCCTATAAGTACCAATACACATACTCAAATGAGCAATTCAATCCGTCCAAATCTCAATAAACAGTTGGATTTCAAAATGGGTATGCTCAAACAAGCCACTGCCTTGAAATGTCATGTAAAAATATCCCATCCCTTAAATGAAAAGATTAATTAATCAATATATAAAGATTGTGATGACACCTCTTAATAAGATTCATTTTTTAATGGAACTTGAAAACTCAATAGAGTAAACTTAACTGAAAAATCAATGGCTGGACATTACTAATAACATATTTGGTATAATGGAGTGGAAGACACCGATATTCAGACAACTATAAAATTTGATATGCACGCATGATGTTTGACCTAGTTTACATTTTAATACAATATATCTTGTTTACATTTTAATAAACTGCTTCTTTTGTCTTCCTCACCTGGTTTTTGTTGCTTGTTTTAGTATATTGCTCGATGTTTGTTGACCTCTTCACCGTATCAAATTAAATTGGCTTAGTTTATCCCACCAGAAACTTATAGGGCATCTCCAGATAAGTAGTATTTATTAGCATTGTTTATAAATCGAGTCCAGCATTAAACCAGAAAAAATGACACCACGTGGTACAATATAAAAATCATGTGTCGAGATTATGCCATTTGGTTTACATTTTTGTTTACACACTATTGAAATTTCAATCATGTGTCGTCACGTGATACAATATAAAAAATGATGTTAAAAAAAGATGTAGGCGTAGCATGATTGATACAATAATTACTTTGTGCCATGGATAGGGATTTTCTGTCGTACAATGTTGTATTTTATGTCCTGTTTTCTATCGTTGACTGTAAAATCTTTGTTAAAATATTGAGCAGCGGACATATTTTGAAAGGAAATATGTTAAATAAATCAAATATAGGCCAGTTCATGGACATCCTATATGTATGACTCGTGAGGAGAGTCAATCAATTAAATTATTATTTAATTAACAAACAAATATGTTTGTTGGTATTTATACCGACCGATGATCCATGCAGGCCATAGCTCATAATTAAATTAGCTAACCAAATATTAATTATCATAAAAATTTATTTATTCACTAATCGCCAACTGTCACTAATTGAGTAAATTCAACTTATGGGCACGGTCTCGTTCGAGTGTTTCTATTCTAGTACAGGATTAACCTGCATTTTCCCCCCCATAAAACCACTCTAGGTGGCATACTTTTACGTATTTAGTTTTCTTGGTTTTGTGACACATTTGCATAATCTCGAATGTAAATATTTTTTATATTTGAAGATTGAATATATTAATTTGTAACGGAGTTTCCATTGTGGTTTTTCTTTCCTTGAGTGAATTGAAATTGCATTTCTGAAATTGTTTGTTTGTAATACTCCGAAACTTTCTTTGTGGCTTAAGTGTAGAGTTTGTAAATTTTAGGTCCAAATTGAGCATTGATTATCTAATCGAGCTTGAAATAATCTTGCCCAAAGGGATGGTCTAATTGAGGAGGATAAAGTTGGTCGAGACTCTTGATACTCACTCTAGAAATGTTCTTTTCTTTGATGGTTTCATTTTCGACTTGCAGATTTATTGTTCTTGTTTCTTTAGTCGTGGTTCCTATTCATGTCAAGTTCCTTTGATTATTTACAATTGTCCTATTCAAGTTCTTATTTTTGCAACTCTAGCCGCAACTTATATAGGTGAATTTATGTAGAGCCTCATTTAAATAGTCTTTTTTTGGTTTTTTTTAGCTTGCACAAAACAATGTATATATGTTGCTCAACATAATTTACTGAAGGAATAAAAATGTAGAACGATACAATATAGGATATAAAATATAAAGTATTAGGAATAATAAAAATAAAAATTCAATTTTATCAACTTTTATCAAAATCTACTGAACATTCAATCTTAATCCCCACCAAGCGGAGGCTAAATAAAAAGGGTATGTTGGGTAAAACTGAAAATATTTATTATGGTGAAGCTGATCCATGAAACTATTAACGTTTATAGTATTGTTTACATAAGAAAGACTTTGGCTCCACTTAAACGGTTGGACTATTCCTTAATATGCATAGCAAACATGCCTTCACTGTTTGGCATAATTGTGTGTGATGTTACAACTGAAAGTTAATGTGGGCTTCTTTTGATATGGTTTGTTATTTACAAGATTGTAGGCTAACGCAGCGGCAGCGCCGGGGATGTTTTTAGAACCGATAGCAAAAAGAACATATCGATTTATTGTTCTCAAAATTGAAGAGAAGCAAAAGCTGAAAAAGTTGGTGAACTAAGTGAAAGCTATGAGGATTTCACTGCAAGTCTTCCTGCTAATGAATGCCGCTATACTGTATATGATTTTGATTTTGTGACAGAGGAGAGCTGCCAGAAGAGTCAAATCTTCTTTGTTGCTTGGTAACATAACTCCATTTGTTTCCTCTGCACATCTTAAGAAATGTGGATTGGATGGTACTGAATACGAAAAAAGAAGTTAAATATTATCCATTACACTGTCGAGTACGTATTGTGTACCAAACATTTTTTAAAAGTTTTAGCATACAAACAATCCATTTTTCCTTAGTTCAGTGTGGCTTTTAGACTTACTGTAATTTATTCACCACTGCAGGTCGCCAGCTGCATCGAGCTAGGGTGAGAAGCAAAATGATTTATGCAAGCTCCAAGGAGAGGTTCAAGAGAGAGCTCGATGGTATCCAGGACAAGCAAAATGATTGTCGCGAAATATAATTTTTTTCTTACATTTTTTCTAATATTCTCCTACATTAAATAATAGTTTAAATATGAGTAGTATTTATATTTGTTGCATATTAGAAAATTAAAATATCTATACTTTCAATAAGGAAAGTGGTCTATAATTTGAAATTAATGAAAAAGGAAACAAGTCTATCGTTATGGAACATATGTCATAGTAGTTTATACACGAATATACATTGGCTTGTGGTTCATCTTTCTCTCGAGTCAATCGTGCAAGATTTTATTGGCTATCACAATTAGAGATGGAGATAGGGGCCGGGCCACCCAACATTGTCCGATGATCAACTATTTTTAATTAATTTATAATGTATTTTTCAGTTTCGCACCCGCAAAATTGCTATTAATAAATATTGACCAAATACAATGGGCCGGGCCCCCCAACATTGTCCGCTGATCCACTATTTTTAATTAATTTATAATGTATTTTTCAGTTTCGCCCCCGCAAAATTGCTATTAATAAATATTGACCCAATAACAGATGTTCTTTGTCAAGCATTACAATTTAAATCTCAAGATATATTGAATACAATGGAATTAGCGTCAGTGACAAAAACCCAACTTCAAAACTATTGAGAATATGGATGGGATGGATTGTTGAACAATGTGGAGTCATTTTGTACTTTAAGAAATATAGACATTCCTGATATGTGATGGAATTGCTCATTCTTAGCTCATCATTAGATCTTAGAGAAAGCTACAAGGTTTTTGAAGTTCATAATATTTGTAAGATTGCAGATAAATTTTATCCCACTGACTTTATAGATCAAGAGAAGTTGCATTTGAAAGATCAATTAGAGCTATATCAAATTGAAGTTCAGCGTAACTGTCAATTTAAAAATTTGACAACACTTCCCGATGTGTGCTAACTGTTGCATTGACAAGAAAATCAATGAGTTATAATCTTGTTGATAAATTGATTCGTTTTGGGCCGGGCCCCCCAACATTGTCCGTTGATCCACTATTTTTAATTAATTTATAATGTATTTTTCAGTTTCGCCCCCGCAAAATTGCTATTAATAAATATTGACCCAATAACATATGTTCTTTGTCAAGCATTACAATTTAAATCTCAAGATATATTGAATACAATGGAATTAGCGTCAGTGACAAAAACCCGACTTCAAAACTATTGAGAATATGGATGGGATGGATTGTTGAACAATGTGAAGTCATTTTGTACTTTTAAGAAATATAGACATTCCTGATATGTGATGGAATTGCTCATTCTTAGCTCATCATTAGATCTTAGAGAAAGCTACAAGGTTTTTGAAGTTCATAATATTTGTAAGATTGCAGATAAATTTTATCTCACTGACTTTACAGATCAAGAGAAGNCAACCATACAAAAATCTTAGACCTAATCAAAAGATCCAATAGTTACTTAAATAAATAAATAGCCCAGATCCAATATATGTGTGCCAACTATTTGCATTGACAAGAAAATCAATAAGTTATAATCTTGTTGATAGATTGATTCGTCTTGTCTTGACTCTTCCAGTTTCAACAGCAACTATAGAACGTGCATTTTCATCTATGAGTGTCATTAAGACAAGAATGCGTAATAGAATGGAAGATGATTTTTTGTCCAATACCATGCTTGTGTATATAGATATTGATACTTTTCCATTAGACTCTTTTATTGACGAGTTTGAAGTGATGAGGACAAGGAAAATCCAATTTCAGATGTCCAAGTTATCTCTATCATCGTTATATAGATAGGCAGTTTACTTTTTGTTTTTTTGATATCCATCTAACGTTCATGTTTTCAATTTGTATAATATTAGATACATAGATTGACATATTATTTTTGTATCGACAAACTGATTGTCTTTTTGATCCGTCAATCTAACTTACCTATTTTGATACTCAAAATCGTCGTTTTCAATCCTTTTAGTTAAAAAAAAAAACTTCGGGGGCTCCAGTGGGGGGTCCACCCCCCTTTTTTCGCCCCCCCAAGATTGAAATCATGGCTACGTCCTTGATCACAATATACTATACATTTTTCAATGGCAATGGTTTTCTTTTTGTTATGTGTTTTTGTAGAGAATACTTTCCATTATATAAAATGGCAAAATCTTATATTACAGGTGGTTAGAATGTACTATGACCCTCACTGGAGAGAAACCTACAATGAGACGGCTAATAAGTACATGATCAACAAATAAATTAAATGGTCTTAACTTGCCAAAAAAAATTTAAATTAACTTAACATAATTAAATAAAAAAATAATCTTTAGTCATTTGGTTTACTATTTTAATAATATCCTACATTTTCGACCAACTTTGAGTCTTTGACCGTTGAAAGTTTACATATAGAAAAAAATATCCTTAGTCAATGAAACTTTAGTGTAGTGTACATAAAATAATTTATAATATAGAAAAAAATGACAAATTGATAAAAAAATAGATGATAAGCAAACACGGACCGTCGTGTAAGATACATATGGCTTATTTATGAGGATAAGTAACTTTCGTCAAGAACGAAATAAAAGGAGGCATATAATTCATTATGTGCTACACGGTTTCCATTTCTAGGAATAAAATGGCAAGTAAATGTTGAGATGTGTGCGGTTTATTACATTCTAAATGTAATAATATTATTCGGATTGTTAATAATGTGACTATTGGAATGAAAACACTTTATATATAATTTGATTATATAGGACATGAATGCGATTAATTATGAATCTCTAAAAAAATTAGTTTCCTCGAAAGAGTTCCTCTCGTCGATTCCATTAAAATTATATGAATATTATTTTAGTTGGGTTGAATCAATTAGTTTAGAGTTGTGAATTTTGAATTGATTTTCAAACTTTAATTAATTGAATTAATTTTATTTTAAACAATTATACAACGTGATAATGATCACACTATGTTCATTTAAATTCAATCACACGTGGATAAGGATAAATAATAAAAAGATAATTAATTTAAATTAATTTAGTTATATGATAAGAGGATATGTGAGATAAAAGTTTTCTCCCAATAAAGTGGTGCCACCTCATCCTAGTATTGGGGATTATTTTTATTTTTTTAGTTAAATTTTTAATTAAAGAATTAAAATAAAGTTATATTTATCAGATACTCAGAAGTATGATAGCGATTTACGGTATTTTAATTTTATAAATGTTCTTTCTTTTCTTCTCACAACACAAAGTAAACAATAAAGTGGAACTTTTGGGCGTTTGACGGCTATAAAGAAGAAGTTCAAGATTTATATCATAAGACGGTCGACGGTATAATTCTCCTATCTTCCTTATAACATGTTACTCAAGTTAATATGTGTATTGCTCGATCAAAAAGAACAAGAAAATGTATAATGTGATTGTTCTTGACTTCAACTTATTCTTTTTAAAAATGGTTTCCAAAACCAACAGTACCACCATCTAATCCAGAACTAAGAGCTAGCATATGAACTCGAATCGAAGCAATGGCCATATGGTATAAAACTTAAGATTAATGGAAAAGCGTCATACTCGGCTGTATCAATTTTCAATAGTTAAAGTAGATTAAAAATTGCAAATCATCTGGAAAGGAAAGAAAAATGAAATGGAAAAGAACAGTAAAAAGGAAATCTTGGGTTTGAGTAGCCAAAGCAAAATTAACGTTGACATAATGATATCACATCACTGTCTATATATTTGGTAATGTCGGTCAGCGCGTAGACTAATCGACCATTATTACGTAATCATCCAATAACAAATCCGCCATCTCAACTTTTATATTTCTGTATATATATTAATCAATTATGAATAATTTCAGCTCTATGATTTCCTATTTCAATGCATGAATCCTGTTTTGCAGTAATTGAATATGGGTGCGAAATTCTTCCAGCTCTATTGGAGTGTTCGTTTTTTGTTTCGGTTTTAATTTGTGATTGGAATTTAATTTGGATGCAATTTTTATTGAGGAAAAGCGATTTTCAATTATCTTGCGGTTCTGTTTAATGATGCAATTGATCAGGATAAGATCTTATGAAGAGGTGAGTGTTTTTTTTTCTTATTCAGTTTCTGATCAATTTTTATTGAGTTTTTGGGTTTTTTTGATATTTTTGTGTGTATTTTGGAATAATTGCTAGCTTTTGATGTTCTATATTTGTGTTGCTAAAGATGATATGATGATGACGACGACGACTGGTATCTATTACCTTTAATGGGGGTTTCTATATTGGACAATTTACTGTAAAAACGTGTCTTTGATTTGATAGTTATGGTTATGAACTGAGATGAATGGACACTGATTTTCAAAAATGTATGTAACATATGGAGGGCAGGGCCATGTTACCACAGCTTCATAGATTATGAAGTTCATTTGTTTTGAGTGTTCACTGCATATCTAACCCTTCAAGCTTCCTCACTTTCCTCTATGAAATCCAGCTACAATGTTATCGGTGAAGGTGTTTCTAATTTCTCATTCTAGGGGTAGCTCTCCAAGGAAGATAAAATTTTGATCATCTATAAAAGATAAAGGATGAACAGAATGTTCTTCTCTAATGTTGAGATCATTTTTCTTATGCAATTTGTTTCGGATCCGAAGTTAGACATCATTTTCATTGTTGTTTTGGGTTGTTTTCTTTCAATGCATTTCCAAAATCCCAATCGAAAACAGTTATCATTTTTCAGGTTTGTAGCTTGAAAACTACCTTTTGAAAGTGACAATGTGAAATTTATATCTCTAGTTGGCGTTTCTATGTCAAATTTGTTCTTAATATGAACTATACCATGTGTGGCGGCATCCTTTATTGCATTTATTGTTATTCTAATTAATATATATTCAACATCTGGTGTTAAGTGAACAAATAGGACTTAGTGTCCGGTCTTGATCTTGGAGTAGTGATTTCATTCAGTCTCTCGACCATTTTCTTGGTGCCTTTTGTCTTTTTATGTGAACTCTATTTGTTTTCTTGAAGATGTACATTTGATTTAATGCATCAGATGATGTAGTTGTCCCTCACCTAGCCTTTTTGCACTACTTCCAACTTATTCTCATAAATAGGTTTATTTGAAGTAGTGTCGTATAATTTGAGAGCAGTTAATTCATTTGTGCAGTTCCCAAGTTTCAGGAGAGTAAATTTCTGAATTCCTGTGAAAGAGATGGGAACAAAACCACAAGTAGAAAGTGTAATCACTCGTCTGATGTGTCTTGATGAGCAGCAACCTCTGCATCCTATCCATAAACAACAAAGTGTGCTCTCTGAGAACTACCTTCGCAAGACGGCTTCCATAGGTTTACGAGAGGGAAGCTCATTCTTTATTGGAAACTCACGTAGAGTATGTAGTGGATGGCTGAAGGGAATCAAGGATACCTCTGAACTTCAGATATCAAAAGATCAACATGTTACTCAGTCAGTTAATGATAGAAGTGCAAACTTAAGTACAAAAAAGTTACAAACGGAAGTCTTCAAGTTGTTGGCTGGACCAAGAGGCAAAAATGGAGAAATATTCAGCAAGAAAAGCAAGTGGCGTGCTCCAGAAAATGTCTTCAAATCTGTCCAGAAAGTTGAGAATGATTCTCTCACAGGTCACTGTGGAGAGCTCGGTCTAGATCACTTGAATGATTTTTTGAAATCTCAATTGGAGATCCTTGACAGGTCTTATCATTCTTCAACAAGGATTTCTGAATTGAAATCGAATTCCACTATAAATAAAACTGATTTTAGACATAGAAGGTCTTATCTACATCCTAGACCAGGATACAGAGATTGTGGGGAGTCCTTAAAAGCAGAAACCGAAAAACTTCATAATGGGGTAATATATGAAGAGCAAGTATCCAATGACATGGAATCTCCCATTCACAGTTTTAGCGCTCGTAAAGGAACTATGAATACAAGTTTACAACCTTCTGAATTTGAAGTTATGAGTGGGACCATTTCAAATGCCCTGCATTTAAGGCAAGATGACGCTGAAATGATTGCCCAGAAAGATAGCTTAGGATCTAGAGGCTCGAGGGGTTATGAGAAAATCCAGACCTCTCTTGGTGTGGATTTATGCTATGATTGCACTATATCACGAAGTGCTATGACTTCTGAGTTATCTAGCTGCAATTTCTCTTGCTTAGGTTTAAACAATAATAACCCTGAAGCATACAGCAAAGGTATTCAGGATGCAATAGAAAACAGTTCTGAGAAGGAAAATAGGTGTGGAGATATTGAGCATGTGCCCAGAGTTTCAAAGCTATCTGACGGTCATATTGCCTCTCGAAGTACAGTTGAGACTAGATTAGCAAACACTGGGATTTCTTCTAGAATCATCAAGGACAGGAATTCTGAACAAAATCCCGGCATCTTTTCAGTTATTGATGCACATTATTATGATGTTTGCGAAGCTTTCACTCAACAGGTGTGTTCTCTCTTTCTAAGATTATTGTTTAACTGGATTTTTTGTCGCATATCTTGAAAAATCTTGAATGGAAAAAGCTTATCTTCTGCATCTTATCCATTTTTCCTCTGCCATTCTTCTCCAAATTCATTTGTGGAGTATTTTTCTTAAGCAAGCCGAAGTATATTATTTTTCTGGGCATTGTTATTTGTTTACTGTTATAAAGAATTATGGATAAAGCGACTATTGATTTTATATCAAGGCACTATAGGTGGTGATATTCAATTTGTTGATGTCCATAATTAAAGCCCAACGGCATGACAAACGTTGTTGGCATCATGTTCTTTTGGAATGAAAATTTTCGATTTCAGGTTGCTCTTTATATCATAGATTTTGCCCATGATACTTTTGTTCATAATCTTTGTACAGGATTTACCCTGTTTTTCTGTTTGCCTCCCATACAGCATTCTTTATTTAAGTGATAAATTTTATGACTTGTATGGATATTAGCATCATAAACATAATATATTTTCTTCTTTAATGCTTTATTTTATCTTTTCATTTTATATGTTCCATGTCTGTCCATTGCTCATGCTTGAATTTTGGTGCAGGAATTGTCAAACGAATTTTCTGAGGAAGAGTTACATGAGACTGTAAAAGGCATAAATCAGTATAGCCCTGATTCGGTTCTTAGTCCACTTGAAATAGAGAATTCTTCTACATCAGAATGCTTTGAGAGTGTAGCTACTGATTTCGACAGTAAGTGAATTGAACCTTCTGTTAACGTTACAAAACTTCAAGTTGAATTAAGATCTAAGCTTTTCATGACTTCCTAGGTCTTTTTGAGTCGGAAGAAACTCACTCCAGAGGTTCTGAGATGGTTATATCAAATGAGGATATGAAGAAAGAGTTTGATGATCTCTCTCTAGATGGCGGAATTCTCCAGTGGTCATTTGGATATGAAGAAAGTCGGGACTTCTCTTACCTGCTCGATGTTTTAGACAAGGCAGACTTTGATCATGTGGATTTAATCGAATTTTCTAAGACATTTAATTCACAGGAATACCCAGTAAGACCCTTAATGTTTGAGGCATTAGAGAAAAAGTATAGTAGGCAGACATTATGGAGAAAGTCTGAGAGGAAGCTTCTGTTTGATCGTATAAATTCTGGGTTGAAAGAGATTATTACTATTCCACTCAATGATTTCGACAAGTACACAACGCCTTTAAGAAGAACGTTTAGTACGACATTAAACCGGGATGAGGTCGAAGAAGAATTGTGGCAATATCTAATTAGCCAGGAAAAGGTAAAGAACGAAGACTTGTCAGAAAGGGTTCTAGGGAAAGAAATGAAATGGTTTGAGTTGGAGGAAAATGTTAATATCATTGTTAGAGAATTAGAGAGTTTTTTGTTTGATGAACTTGCAATAGAGTTAGTGTGCAGAGATGATGAATGAGCTTTTCCATTTTTCTGAATTATTTGGTGTCATACATGCAATATGTCTGAACAACAACAATTTTGGCAAAGCAATTATACTTTGCCTAGGTTCAATTTTTTTTACTCCTAAACATGAAGAGAAATAAGAATTTTGAATTGGCCACATGCTTCCTTTCTCGCTATTCTGTTCGGTTCATATTTAAATTTGCATGCAGATTTTAAAGTAAGTAGATCTTTAACAAATTTTTGTTTCTTTTACTGGCTACTTCGTCTTAATTTTGTTTATACTTTTGAGTCCCTCGAAATCGGTGGCCGAGTCAAACATTCTTTATTGTGGGATCAAAAATTAAGGGATTGTTCTCTTTGTGTTTTACTTTTGTGTTTTGAGTTTTGAATTCATTTTGGATTTCATATTTTGAGTGTCCATTTTGAGATTGTTGAAAATATATTTTTTTTGGCATTTTGAAAAATTATTTTGAAAACACCCAAAATGCGTTTTGAAAATTTTGGTTTGATTATAATTGAAAACACAATTTTTCGTTTTAGGTTTTCTTTGTAAATTTTTAACTTAATTTCAAAAACGCGTTTTTGAAAATAGGAAAGAGAACGCGTTTTCACTGTTTTGAAAAATCGAAAACAGAAAACAGCTTAAAAACTGAACTCGTTTTCAAACATCCTTTTGTGAAGAACATTCATTTCACCAATTTTTTGCTTCTCACTTGAAGATGGAGATTCGTGTATAAAATAAAATCTCATAATTGTTGACATTAAATTCAATAAATAAAATAATGCTAATATATTCCAAATAATAGTTTCAACCATAAAAACACAAGTAATTTTAATAGGAAATAGCAAAGTCCCAATATTCCATTAAATCACAATAGAAAACAACCAATTCCATAAAAAAAATTAAAAATTAAAAAATCCAACAATGAATTTCAATAATACATAAAATTTAAAACCATCAAGCGAGGACAAGCCATTGTATACTTTAGAAATTAGATCGAAGTAGAAACTTGACATTGGCACAAATGTCTTCATCAAAAACATAATTTAATGAAATTACATATTTACCATATGAATTTCAATGTTTTGGAAGATAAATACAATTGTTTAAGTATTTTCTTCTTCAAAACTTGATCAATCCTACAAACCATTTGCCAAGAATCCTTTTAAGCACCAATTAAATCCTAGAATGGGCAAATATCGTTCGAGGACAACGATTTCGTGTTTGAACCTTTCTACCATATTTAATGTTATCGATTCTTTCTTTTTATTATCTTCTCCATTCTCTTGAAGATAATATTCCAACATGTTGGGCCGGATGCTGGCCCATCTATTGTGCTCTCAATTTTTGGGATGGAAGTCGTGTTTACAATTCACGTCTTTCTTATTTTGGTTGACAACTTCATTGGATGGATGACACTTGGCTCACTTGTGACCGTCTGATGCTTGGACGGTTGATATACTTGGGCTTGAGATATTTCTGGCTTTCATTTTTCCTCTGCCATTCTTCTCCTCCAAATTCATTTGTGGAGTATTTTTCTTATGCAAGCCGAAGTATATTATTTTTCTGGGCATTGTTATGTGTTTACTGTTATAAAGAATTATGGATAAAGCGACTCTTGATTTTATATCAAGGCACTATAGGTGGTGATATTCAATTTGTTGATGTCCATAATTAAAGCCCAACGGCATGACAAACGTTGTTCGCATCATGTTCTTTTGGAATGAAAATTTTCTATTTCAGGTTGCTCTTTCTATCATAGATTTTGCCCATGATACTTTTGTTCATAATCTTTGTACAGGATTTACCCTGTTTCTCTGTTTGCCTCTCATACAGCATTCTTTATTTAAGTGATAAATTTTATGACTTGTATGGATATTAGCATCATAAACATAATATATTTTCTTCTTTAATGCTTATTTTATCTTTTCATTTTATATGTTCCATGTCTGTCCATTGCTCATGCTTGAATTCTAGTGCAGGAATTGTCAAACGAATTTTCTGAGGAAGAGTTACATGAGACTTTAAAAGGCATAAATCAGTATAGCCCTGATTCGGTTCTTAGTCCACTTGAAATAGAGAATTCTTCTACATCAGAATGCTTTGAGAGTGTAGCTACTGATTTCGACGGTAAGTAAATTGAACCTTCTGTTAACGTTACAAAACTTCAAGTTGAATTAAGATCTAAGCTTTTCATGACTTCCTAGGTCTTTTTGAGTCAGAAGAAACTCACTCCAGCGGTTCTGAGATGGTTATATCAAATGAGGATATGAAGAAAGAGTCTGATGATCTCTCTCTAGATGGCGGAATTCTCCAGTGGTCATTTGGATATGAAGAAAGTCGGGACTTCTCTTACCTGCTCGATGTTTTAGACGAGGCAGACTTTGATCATGTGGATTTAATCGAATTTTCTAAGACATTTAATTCAGAGGAATACCCAGTAAGACCCTTGATGTTTGAGGCATTAGAGAAAAAGTATAGTAAGCAGACATTATGGAGAAAGTCTGAGAGGAAGCTTCTGTTTGATCGTATAAATTCCGGGTTGAAAGAGATTATTACTATTCCACTCAATGATTTCGACAAGTACACAACGCCTTTAAGAAGAACGTTTAGTACGAGATTAAACCGGGATGAGGTCGAAGAAGAATTGTGGCAATATCTAATTAGCCAGGAAAAGGTAAAGAACAAAGACTTGTCAGAAAGGGTTCTAGGGAAAGAAATGAAATGGTTTGAGTTGGAGGAAAATGTTAATATCATTGTTAGAGAATTAGAGAGTTTTTTGTTTGATGAACTTGCAATAGAGTTAGTGTGCAGAGATGATGTATGAGCTTTTCCATTTTTCTGAATTATTTGGTGTCATACATGCAATATGTCTGAACAACAACAATTTTGGCAAAGCAATTATACTTTGCCTAGGTTCAATTTTTTTTTTTTTTACTCCTAAACATGGAGAAATATGAATTTTGTATTGGCCACATGCTTCCTTTCTCGCTATTCTGTTCGGTTCATATTTAAATTTGCATGAAGATTTTAAAGTATGTAGATCTTTAAAAAAAATTTGTTTCTTTTACTGGCTACTTTGTCTTAATTTTGTTTATACTTTTGAGTCCCTCGAAATCAGTGGCAGAGTCAAACATTCTTTATTGTGGGATCAAAATCCAAGTTTTTTCGAACATCACTTGTTTCACCAATTTTTTGCTCCACTCGAAGAAGGAGATTCACGTTTAAAATAAATTTTCATAATTGTTTGACATGAAATTCAACAAATAAACTAATGCTAATATATTCCAAATAGAAAGGTCGAACCAGGATCGAACCGCTGATTTTTTAAAAAATAAAATATATACATTTACAAAAATTAAAAAAATATACATTTAAAAATTTTAAAAATATACATTTACATAGGTTGAACCTGTTAAACTGGGGACAGGCCACGGGTTTTCCAATGGTTTTTAATTAGAGGTTTTATAAGTTTAACCGGACCCATTTTGGTCCCGATTCCCGATTTTCTCGGTTGAACCAGTCGGGTTGGTTTGATTTTTAAAACATTGGTGATTATATTCACATTACATCTTTTTTATAAATACACTACATTTTAATTACATAAAATGTATCCATATTTATTTATTTTTTTGACTTTTTTCTCATCATATTCTTATCTCTTTCTAATCATTAACTAGTCCTTAATCAATGTTTTATCTAAAAATATTGTTAGTGTTCTTAATACGAGGGAAAAATATCTAAATTTGGTTTTTTTTTTTTTTTAGCTTATTTAAAAATAAAAGGGATAAATAATTTTTCACTCCATGTTAACAATTTTTTTTTTTGACAAACTATAAGCTAGGGTACTTTGTGTTTATTGGAGAATAAGAATGAAATGAAAAGAGAGTTGAGGAAATACACGTGATAATGATTAATGTTATAGACCTTTATGCAATTAAAATTGTGGTGTAATTATTAAAAATGTGATGTGAATATATTTACCTTATACCTTGTTACGTAGGAATTGTAACCTTATAGATATGCATACTTGAACTTTTTGGAGTTTTTTGAAAATAAAAATGTCCATTTTGATTAAGTGATAGTGCAAAAAAAAAAAAAAATTTACGAGATTTGGGTCATCCAAGCATATACGTACGAGTAATGTTATGTACACCATTGCCAACTAGATGGTGATAAGTACCACTGATGGATGTACAGGGTATTGGATCAGGTCGTAGTTCAGTCCAATCCCCAGCCAATTTCATATTTTTAGTGTAAAATAAAAAATTATGTAAAAAAAAAAATATCTATAAATTTTATTTTATTTTATATATTAGTCAGTCTTGTAGTCCGATCCTGAAATCTTTCATGATAAGTACTAGTGGTGCTACATATCTTTATTCTATATTTATACCATTATCATGAGTAGACAATTTTATCCACTTGACACTTAAAATACCATATCTATTTTGAAGAGATAATTATATTTTAAGCATCGAAATAGATTATTAAGCCTGGCTAAGATAAGAGTGAGCTGCACTGCTCAATACAAAGATTAAATTTGGATCTAATGAAATGCGATAAACTAGACCCAAATGAGATGAATTGGTTTTGGAATCAAAATTGGAAAATTCGAGTTTTGCACATGCGCGCATAGGCCATTCAACCATGTATACACATGGCTTGAGCTTGAAAAAATAAAAGTAAAAATGTTTCTACCATGCGTACGCATAAGTTATACTATACGTACGCATAGGCCAAAAAACAAGCCGTTGGGCTGTTTTTTTGGTTTGATTCTGGAGGGCTTTCCATGAAAATACTTAACTTTTCATATTAGTATGACACCATCCATGAATATATTTCATGTTACTTAACTTTGTAAAAATTGTATATGAACAAAGTTGGGACGTATAAGAATATATTTTATTATAGTTAGAAGTTACAAAGAATTATAGTAAAAAAAAAAAAAACACGACCCCTGTTGCTTTCTACAAGATTGAAATGCTACATAAGCATGAGCAGCATATAGTTGAAAATCCAGCAAGTCTTGTGGAGAATTTCCGAGGTTGAAGCAGCTCAAGTTTTGAGCAAAATGTCATTACCGCGCTTTTGCTCTATTTCCAGTCTCGAATTCCCAGCAGCAATTCTATCATCGAGCCAATTAACGACATCTGAGAACACTATTTCGATATTCTCAGGCAACTCCCCGTAGGTCAGAGAATGCCACATTCCTGGATACAACTTGAAGGTCTTGTCTGTGCTTGAAGCTGATTCGTACAGAAGTTTGCTAACAGACGGGTCTGTGACTTTATCATCTCCTCCATGAACAATCAAGAATGGAAGTGAAACCTCTTTAAGTCTCGTCTCTAAATCCATGCTGACTCTTAAGAGTTGGTTGCCAGTGAGTAGACGAGGCCTTCCCTTGTAACAATATGGGTTTGATCTAATCTGTCAATTTTTAAAGAAAAAATCATTTTCAATTATTTACAACTTATAAATTACATAAAAAGAGAGAGAGGGAGAGAGAGCATACCTCATCCCTTATATCTGGAACCCTAAAGGCAATGTCGATAATATCTGGAGTTGGAATAATTTTCCATGTTGGAATGATGCAAGACAGCTTGCTCAAAACATTCACAACCACTGGATGTGGACGTATATCGTCAGCAATCTGTTTTGAAAATTAGGAAATTCTAATTATTTATGGAATTATCCATTTGTACAGAATTGTTTCTTATATAAAATTGACAAAATACTCACATGGGAGTGGGCCTCATGTGAGTGAAATATTATTATTAAAAATGAGGTCCACATTCATGTGTGTATTGTGTCATTTTTACAGAAATTATTTTTTGTAACCGTAGCATCTCTCATTATTTAAACACTCCTAGCTCAGCCCAAAAATCAACCACGGACAGATTGACAAAGATGACATTTCAAAAAACATATTTTTTATTATTTTGAATAATGATTTCACCAACTCCTTTACAAAGTTATTATTGCTTCAGCCCTCCTAAGCCCCATTTGGCCCCATTATCTGACCTTATAATTTTTGAAATAGTTTTTTTTTTTGTTTCGTTGTGTTTGGTGGATTTTTTTTTTTTTTTTTGAAAAAATATTTTTTTAAATAGTTTTTTTTTTTTTTTTTTTTTCATGTGCTTGAAAAATAAGGAATTTTTTTTATTTATGTATAATATTATTTTATTGTAGAATGCGTCGTTAAAAAAAGAGAGAAAAATATATTATAAATGCGTGGGCCAAACGGGAACTAATTTTTTTGTTATTTATCGCATCTTCTTATAAGACATTGTCGTTATGATTATCAAAGAGTTCTAAATTTATCCCCTGTTTGAGCCACATTATCATTTTCATTATCATTCTTCTACTTATTTTCAACTACACATTTTTCAATAAAATAATATTTTTCATCACATCAAAAAATTTGCATTCTTTTTCAACCACATATTCACCTCACATCACAAAAAAAAAAAAAAAATGCATTCTCTTCTGAAAAATGTGTATCAAACACACCCATTATAAAAATTTTAATACATGCTACCGATCATCGACACTAATGATCTAAACATGTCGTAAATATACTAATATGTGCCCTGGTTCAACTTAAAATCTAATTAAAATTTAAGTTAAAATTAATAATTAATTTTAATCAAATATTTCTAATTTTCTATGGATAAATATGACTAATAAACACACCTTACACATGGGCGCAACAAGGACGGCCCCATCCCAATAATTTGGCTTCTTCCTGTGTAAAAGGAGTAGGACTGCCCCTCCCATCGATTCTCCCATTAAAATCCTCATCTTTTTCTTATTTCCTTTCCTTTCTGCATACAATTAATTCCACAGTCAGCCTGCAAATCCTCGTGATTCTAATAGACATTAGACTAAACACGATTAAAGAAGAGATACTATAAAGTATATATTTCTCGGTATATCACGATCGAACATGTTAATTACTTACCACAAATGCTGGTAAAATGATCAGAACAGTCATCAACAAGATCCTCAAAGTTAGGAATATAACCAGGAAGCCCAGATGACTTTCCATGGCCTTCATAGTCCATTCCATAAACTCCATAACCAGCCTTTGCAAGCCTAGTTCCACACCCTGTTCCAATCAAACCACACCCTATTAATTTCAATGTATCTTTCCACGAAATCATGGTTCGATTGGTAAGTTGGACTGACAGTATTAAGAATTTAAAAAAAGAAGTTAAAATCTTTGTTTATTTTTGACCTTTCATTGATATGGTGCTTTCCATGGCATATCCGTGGCACAAGAAGATTAAAGCTTTTGGTTCGCAATGCAAAGGCAACCATCTGCATGTGAAAAGTTTATTTCCTCTTGAATTCAATATGTATTCCTGAAAATTAATTATAATTCATATAATTAGACTTTGAAAGAGTGATAATCAATAAAACACGAAAGACGAAGAAAACTAGGGTTTACCTCTTCATATCGAACGCCGCTCGTGTCATTAGTCGTCTCCTGTTATTATCAAGAAGACATGTTATCGAAGTAGTTATGAACAGCAAGTTATAAAGAATGAAGAAATAAACACATACATACCATGATGATGGATGAAAGGAGGGATTCACTAATAAATTATATATCAAGATTTGAGAAAATAAGAAAGAGTTTGAGAGAGAGAAAAGAATGGAATGGAATGGAATTGGATATGAGAATGAACCAGTATTTATATGGATGGGAATCGGAGGGAAGAAGCGTGTGGATCACTTAATTTAGTGCTTTTGGCTGTGGAGTTTAGTGTTAACAGCTAAATGTTATGTTATATCTGCAGTCTAAGTTAAGTGTTAACAGCT